GCCTAGACCCTTCTTGGGTCTCGGCCCGAAATGTCAGCTTTCCTGCTCCTCTGATGCTGCATGGCCTGCCGGGTCCATCCAGCTCTACACCTTGGTATCTCAGATTCTCCAGCATCTGCAGTTCCTACTATCACCAAACTACAGTGCTGCACTTCCACTGAACACTAAAATTCTAAAGACAAAAATAAAATTTCACTACTCACTGTCACAACATTAAACAAAGTGCTGGAGGTAGTGCTGGCTAAATGCAACACTTTCTACCAATTCAGTGAATGATTTTTCTAACCTTTGCATTTGTTTTACTCAATTGATGGGGCATGCTGTTTGGGATGCACTTTGCACTGTAATTATTCTTAGCATTATCAAATTTGCTGTCTTTCACAGAAATAGAAAGAGAGTGAGCGAGACAGACAGTAGGCAAGGTGAGTGAAAGAGATAGGGAGAGGGAGCATCAGACGTGCAGAAGGAGAGAGGCAATGAGAGGGAGGGTATTCATGGTGGAATATGCATGCTTTCTGTGCTGTTTAGGTTATGTTTATCAGATGTAAAACACTAGAAACGCAGATCATGACAACAACAGAAACTTTTACAACTGAGATTGGAACTCCTGAGCCTGATGTATAAAGATAACACTCCAACTCTCCAACCTATGAGTGATCTGCTTCACAGCTTTCTATTTGAATACTTTTCAGACAATGATAAGTGGAAGAGGAGGTTAGGAAGAGACAGCGAGCGAGAGAGAACGTAGGCGCTGCAGGAGAGTATAGAGATGTGGAGGGTTGGAGGTTCTGGTGGAGATTACAGAGATAGAGAGTGTTGCAGGGTAAACAGTTGGATATAGGAGCTAAAGGAATTTGGAGAAAAAGTGGGAACAGGCTAATGAGTTGGATGACCAGCCATGATCATGACGAATGCTGGAGCAGGCTGTTCCTGTTCCTATTTTCTATGTTTCTGTAAAAGACAAAGGCAGGTAACAATTGTTTAAGGCAAAGGGCAGAAGGAGGTGTGAGGAAAAACATTTTCACACACAGGCTGATGGGAATGTGGAACTCACTGCCTATCAGTGTGGGACAGGCAGAAACTCTTGTAACATTGAAAAGGTTTTTGATATGCACTGACAGGGATTACACAGCTACGGCAAGGTGCTGGGAAATGGGATTGGAATAGTCACGTGATTATTTCTGACCAGACATGGCCACAATGGGCCATAGGATCACTTTCTATAGCCCTCCATGACTAGCCTGTGGCATTGTTTTGGCTCCGTTAAAAGCCGCAGGAATTATTTTGCTCCTGCAGATGCAGGTATCACAAGGGAAACATCAAAATGCTGACATCAAAGCCGAACTGAGAGTTTAATAGGAACAAGCTTCCTCTCTAATCCTGATTTCTCAGTGTTCCTTGAAGGAAGCATGGATGAGAAGGAGGAGGCTCAGAATCAATAATCTGTCTGCTAACACAAGGTCTAAAATTGCAAACACATGGTCACACTGAAATTGAATGGTGTGGCAAACAGATCAGCATCAATGTCAGCTAGAGAAAGAGAGAGACAGGGTAAGTAGGGAGGGAGAGACACCGATACGGGGGATGGGAGAGAGAGAGAGAGAAAAAGAGAGGGGGGTGGCGTGGGGGCAGTGCATGGAGTTATGGAAAGGAAACTTTCACGGTTTGGACAGGTTCCCTAAATTTAACATAGATGTACAGGTCTGGGAAACTGTGACAGCTCACTGGAGTTTGGGGGTAATTGCACACATTATAATGATACATGGTGTCCGTACCTTTAGGAACTGATATTTATCAGGCAGATCATCTGAAGAAGATAGTATTGTGATAATATCACTGGATTATTAATCCAAAGATCCAGGTTAATGCTTTTAGGCCATATGTTCAAATCACATCACAGCATTCTGTGAATGAATTAAAAACAAACATAACTCCTGAAGCAATCTTTATCACCATGCAGCAAGACATGGAATACAAGCCTGACTTGGGCAGACAAGTGAAAAGGAACATGTAACGAAGTTCAGTCCAGTAAAAGAACAGCTGACCATCTGATACTGACATATACTGCACGGTGCTCTTCGTAACTGTCACCATCAAATCCTGAATGTTACCCCTGAATATGATTGGAACCAACCTAACACTGCAATAGCAACAAGAATCAGTCAAATTATGAGAATTCTGCAATGAGCAAATCCCAAGCCCTGTATCAATGCCAAAATAGCTCAAACAAATCTTTCCTGCTCCTCTGATGCTGCTTGGCCTGCTGTGTTCATCCAGCTCTACACCTCGTTATCTCAAACAAATGAGAGACAACAAGGTGCAGGGCTGGATGAACACAGCAGGCCAAACAGCATCATAGGAGCAGAAAGGCTGATGTTTCGGGCCTAGACCCTTCATGGGTCTGCAGTTCCTACTATCTCTGATCTATCTCAAACAAATCTCAGTTTTGAAGTTCAGAAACCACCATTATCCTACAACAATTCCAAACAATTCCAACTGTCGCACTCTTGGGTGATCGGGTTTGAGCTACTCGATCTGTTGGCGTGATGGGAGAGCTGCACATCTCAGTTGGTGTTATTTATGTATCATTTGTCCACTGACGTATCAGGAATCCTCACTACTTCCTTTTATAATTCATCATTTTATGGCACTGTTTTGATCAAATGAGAAAACCATTTCGAAGGAGTGTTTGAATCATCTATACTGCAAAATGTACATCTCAAATGCAATTAGGAATGGACAGAGAAATACCTCAGACTCAGTCGTAGAATATAAGAACATAGAACAGTACAGCACAGGAACAGGACCATCGGTCCACCATGTCTGCGCTGACCAGGATGCCATTCTGAATTAATCCTATCTGCCTGCACTTGGTCTGTATCCTTCTATTCTTCCTGTTCATGTGTCCGCTTTATCCCTTCTACCATGTCCCTGGTAGCGTGTTCCATGCATCTACCACACTCTGTGTAAAAAAATCTTGCCTCACACATCTCCCTTAAACTTACCCCTCTCACCTTAAACCTACACCCCCTAGTATTTGACATTAACAGCCTGGGAAAAAAAGATCTGACAATCCACACTATCCAAAATTTTATATGCTTCTTTTAGGTCGCCCCCTCAGCCTCCGACGCTCAAGGGAGAACAATCCAAGTTTGTCCAACCTCTCCTTATAGCAAAAATACTCCAATTCAAACAACATTCTGATAAATCTGTTTTGCACCCTCTCCAAAGCCTCCACATCCTTCCTATAGAATGGTAACCACAACTGCACACAACATTCTAAATGTGGCCTAATCAAAATCTCATACAACTACAAAAAACTATTACAAAAGCTACAGGAGGCTAGGAATACTGTGGCGGGTAACTCACATCCTGAGTCCCCAGAGTCTGTCTACCATCTACAAGGCACAGGTCAGGTGTGTGATGGAATATTCCCCACTTGTCTGGATGGGTGCAGCCCCAACAACACTTAAGAAATGTGACACCGTCGAGGACAAAGTAGCCCACATGATGGGCAGTACATCCACAAGCATGCACTCTCTTCATCGCCGATGCTCAGTGGCCGCAGTGTGTACTATCGACAACGTGCACTGTAGAAATTCACCAAAGATCCTCGGACAGCGCCTTCCAAACCCATGACCATTTTCAACTACAAGGACATGTGCAGCAGATATATGGGAACACCACCACCTGCCAATGCTCCTCCAAGCCATTCACCATCCTGACTTGGAAATATAATGCTGTTCCTTCACTGGTGCTGAGTCAAATTCTTGAATTCTCTTCCAATGGGCATCGTGCGTCAATGCACTGCACATGGACAATAGTGGTTCACGAAGACAGTTCACCAGCACCTCCTCAAGGAGGCAACTAGGGACGGGTAATAAATGCTGCTCAGCCAGCGACACCCATGTTGCACAAATGAATAAATGAAAAAATAAATGGGACATTACTTGCCAACTTTTATACTTAATGCCATATGCTTTCTTTACCACCTTGTCCACTGGTATTATCACTTCCAGGGAGCTATGGACATGTATCCCAACATCCTTCTGTATGTCAATGCTCCTCAGGGCCCTGCCATTTAGTGTGTACTTTCCAACTGGATTTGATCACATCAAGTAAGGATGAGAGAATTGTCAACTGGATATTTGTAGCAATGTGCGAATTCCCTGCCGGTCATTACAAAGGCAAATCTACACAGGATACTGACCTATGAAAGGATGCATTGTATGATGTTTGGTAATGGAGGTTTGCTAAACCACCTGAAGGCTGGATTGGAAGAGCTTCAGCAATTACCTTCAGTAGTTCCTCTCCAAGGGTTCTGCAGTCCATCAGTAGTTCCCCTCCTGCAGTGCGAGATAATACCAGCACTACCCAACAACAGTACAGACGTCCCTCTGAGAGTCTGTTTTGACAGAACATTGCATAATTAGAAGGTCAGTACTGAGGGAGTGCTGCGTTGCCAGAGGGTCAATATTGAGAGATTGCTGCATTGTCGGAAGGTCAGTACTGAAGAAATGCAGCACTGACAGAGGGTCAGAACTGATGGAGGGCTGCACTGTCAGATGGTCAGTTCTAAGGGACTGGCACACTGCCAGACGGTCAGTACTGACGGAGGGTCAGTACTTAAGGTGAGCTGCACTATCGGAGGATTAGTACTGAGGGTGAGCTGCACTGTCGGGGGGTCAGTATTGAGTGAGTACTGGACTGTCAGTGGGTCAGTACTGCGGGGGAGATTCACTGTCAGAGGGTAAGTACTAAGGGTGAGCTGCACTGCTGGGGGGTCAGTATTGACAGTGTACTGCTCCATCAATGGGACTATGTTGCGGAAGTGCTGTTATACTAGGGGAGCCTTTACGGAGAGAATATTTGCGTGTTTGAGGGGGAACACATCATCACCAGGACAGAAAGTACTTGGAGAAAAATGCCCTGTCAATAAGTACTGAATAATACTGAGCTGTTGGAGGGGAATTGCTGACGGAGTATGGCCCTGTCGGAGGGATAGTGTTCAACGAGCTATGATGCACAAACACCAGGCATCGTTACAATTGAGGGACTGAGTCCCAGTTTGCATCATAGAAACACTTGTCAAAGTGAATTATGTTCCACCCAAGGTAAAAAATAGTGCCATGTTTATCAGCAATTGTTCAGGGTGAGAACCTAATTATGACATTACTTATTATCACAAGAACGCCCAGAGCAGCTTATCGAAACATCAACAGTGAACATGTTTACAGTAGGGTCATTTTAACATTCAGATCATTGGAATGGTTTCTTTACTCCCAGGATCAGCCAGGAGAAATCACACAAGCAGATGCAAGGAACGCACAAAACAAAACCAGAAAGTGCTGGAGAAAGAGTCAATACAGTGTGGAGCTGGAGGAACACAGCAGGTTGGGCAGGAGCAGACAAGCAGGAAAGTCGACGTTTCAGGTCGGGACCCTTCATCAGGAGAAACTCAGCAGGTCTGACAGCATCTGTCAGGAGAAAGCAGGGTGAACATTTCGAGTCCTGCGACTCTTGATCAGAAGTGATGAATACATGGTTGGTCTGTTAAAGGAGTTAGCATGAGGGTAGAATCACGTTAAACAAACATCAGGCCATAAAAATACTGTGAAAAATAAACAAAGGAGCAACTCCAGGCTGCCACAGATCCTGCTGTGGTTGTTTGAAAGTATGATCAAGTGCGGCCCACTCTCCCATGTTTCCATAACTCCCATCCCCCTCAACTCCAACCTTGTAAATCCTTAATCTTCAAGTATTTATTCAATTACATTTCTCAACCCTCCTGCCGATCATTTCCACGCCCCTTTCAGACAAGAGCATTCTCGATTACAGCAAGTTATCTGACAAGGAACGATTTTTTTTTATGTCCTCTTCAATCACCTCCAGAGTCATACATTCCACAAAACACCCCTCAGCCCATCAAGTCTGCACCATCTAAACCACACACAGGGGAGTCAAGAGCTGCAGTGAAAACACAGGAAAGTGAACACGAGGAGTTTTGGATCAGCCACGGTCCTGTTAAATGGTGGAGCAGGCTTGAGTGGCTAAATGGCGTACTCGTGTTCCTATTTTGTATGGTCTAAATTGACACTAATCCCAGCACTTTCCAGCACTTGATCCACAGCCCTGAATGCTCTAATGTTCAAGGGCTCATCCAAGTACATTATCTGTGTGGGTCCCCAGTTTAATAATCCTCCTGCCTTTAGGCATAATTTCTCCTGATTTACTGTAGCAAAACTTCTCACAGTCTTGAAATTCTCCATTAAATCTCCCCTTAATAGTTTCTTTGGTAAGGGCAACAATCCGATTTCTCGCTTGGAGACAGTAAGGATTGCAGATGCTGGAAACTACAGTCAATACACGTGTCGATTGGAAAGCACAGCAGGTCAGACAGTATCCGAGGAGCAGGAAAGTCAACGTGTCCGGCTGAAACCCTTCGTCAGGGCCCTGAAACGTTGACGTTCCTGCTCCTCAGATGCTGTCTGACCTGGTGTGCTTTTCCAGCTCCACATTTATTGAATTAATTTCTCATGTCAAGCCACATTCGGATACATTCCCTTTGCATGCTCTCTGTCCTTCCTCTAAAGTATGTACGAAAACATAACGCCATTTTTACCTGCCCATGAGTAACAAACCCGAGGGTACTAACACACTGGCAGATTTACTCTATAATTCCAAAGTTGAACAATGGCTACCTCTTTGATGTCTACTTGACTTCCAAAACCCTTTAGGGGCTGTTGAGGTATTGAATTCTGTCCAAATCTCTACCTAATTCCATGGGTTGGAATCCCCAGCTGGGAAGACTCTGTTTTCACATTTTTACAGTCGAACACTGTCAGATATTTTGGCTTTCCAATGGTTTAGCTCTCATCCTTCTGCACCAC